CTACAAGAAATTTAGAGAAGATTTAATATAAACTTTTCTCAAACTCTTCAATGAAATTGAAAGGGAAATAATTCTCTCACATTCATTCTTGGAGACAAGCATTATTCTCATACCAAAACCAGGAAAAGACCCAACTAAAAAAGAGAACCACAGGCCAATCTCTCTAATGAACACAGATGCAAAAATCCTCAATAAAATAATAGCAGAGTACAGGAAATCACTAAGAAGATTATACATCATGACCAAGTAGGATTCATCCCAGGAACAGATGGTTCAATACATGCAAATCCATTAAGTGTAATATACCATGTCAACAAAGCTAAAGAAAAAAAATCACATAGTCATCTCAATAGATGAAGAAAAAGCTTTTTCCTCTGAATAACCAATACAATGACAACAACATGCAACATATTAATTATTGTAAGTGGCCTACTAACCTGTTTTGAAACTGTTTCACTGCTATTTCATCTTTTTTTTCTCACTAAAATGAATTTTAAAAAACTTTTAAATCCCCCTCTCAAAAAAGAAAAAGATTTTGACAAACATTCATGATAAAAACCTTACAGGAAATCGGAACTGATGGTCTTTACATCAACTTGATGAAAGCCATCTAATTAAGAAACCAACAGCGAAAGTAATGTGACTTCTTGGCCAATCAGCATGGCTTTGAAACTCTTTTTGTACATGTTTCTGGCTTCATTATGTGGTTTATTTATCAGTCATAAATTAGGGAAAAGAAAACCTGATTCCTCCTGTACCTTCTTTTAAACATTATTCTATTAAATTATTTGCACTGGTTAAAAAAAAAAGAAAGAAACCAACAGCCAATGTCATATTAAACGGACAAAAACTGAAAACTTCACTTTAAAATCAGAAATAAAACAAGGATGCCTGTTGTCACCACTCCTACTCAATATAGTTTTGGAAACATTAGCCAGAGCAATTAGACGAGAGAGAAATAAAAGGAATAATGATTGGAAAAGAAGAAGTGAAATCATCATTATTTGCTAGTGACATGATATTCTACATAGAAGACGTGAAAAACACCAAGAGACTTGTAGATTTAACAACCACATTCAGTAGCATACCAGGATATAAAGTCAACACTCAAAAGTCAATAGCATTTTGTACACAAACAACAAACACACCAAGAGAGAAATTAAGGAAAACACAACCTTCTCAATAACATCCAAAAAAATGAAATAATTAGGAATTGATCTCATAGGGAAGTAAAAGATTTATACAGTGAAAATTACAGTACTCAGAAAAGAGATCAGAGAAGATTTCACAAAATGGAAAAATATTCCTTGCTCCTGGATAGGAAGATACAACATAATGAAAATGGTCATACTCCAAAAATTGTTATACAGATTCAATGCAACCCCAATACCATTAGAATACCTCACAGATCCAGAGAAGGCATTCCCAAAATTCATCTGGAACCAGAAGAAACCCAGAATATCAAAATCAAAATCAAACCAGAATATCAAACCAGAATAAATCAATATCAAAATCAAACCAGAATATCAAAATCAATCCTAGGCAACAAAGGAAAGGCAGGGGACATCACAATCCCTGACCTGACACTGTACTACAAAGATACTGTAATAAAAATCATTATGGCACTAGCATAAAAACAGATCTGAGGATCAATGAAACAGATTAGAAGATGAAGAAACAACTATAAGCATAGTCTGCCATCTTATCTCTGGCAAAGGGGCCAAACATCTTCACTGAAAAAACATAGCTTCTTTAATAAATGGTGCTGGAAAAATTGGCTTTCCACATGCCAAAGGCTAAAATCAGACCCTTGTCTATCATCATGCACTAAAACACATCCAAAATGAATCAAAGATTTAAACACTGAAATAGAAACACTAAATATCCTAGAGGAAAATGTAGATAGAAATTTTAAAGACATAGGGGTAGGTAGAGAGTACATGAACAAAAACCAACCTGCACAGGAAATACTTCAAAGAATCAAAAACTGGGATCTCATCTTTTTGAAAGTTTCTGCACATCAGAAGAAATAATCAAGAGAATAAAAAGAAAACCCACAACTGGAGAAAAAAAAAAAAAAAAAAGATCATGGTCAACTGCCCCTCTGACAAACACCTATATAGAACAAATAAAGAATTTTAAAATCAGGCCCCAAATTCAAAGACACAATCCAAAAGTGGGCATATGAGATGAATATACATTTCTCAGATGAAAAATGCAAATGGAAGATAAACATATTTTTAAAATGTTCAACTTCATTGATCATTTGGGAAATTCAAATTTAAACAACACTGAGATTCCATCTTATCCCAGAAAGAATGGCTATACTCAGGAAGTCAACCAATAATAAATACTGGAGGGACTGTGGGGAAAAAGCAAACCTTCTCTACTGTTGGTGGGAGTGCAGACTGGTACAAACACTATGGAAATCAGTGTGGAGATCCCTCAAAAAGCTAGGATTGGACCTCCCATTTAAGCTAGCTCTTCCCCTCTTGGGTATTTTTCCAGAAGAACTAACATTATCATACCACAGTGATTTATGTGCACCCATGTTTATAGCAGTGTAATATGTCATAGCTAGATGGAAGCAAACCAAATGCCTATCAACTGAGGAACAGATAAAAAAAGATGTGATTTTTTTACACAATGGAGTATTATTCAGCTATAAAAAAGGATAAACTTGAGGCTTTTATCCATAAATGGATACAACTAGAGACCATACTCTTAAGTAAAATAAATCAGACCCGCACGTACAAACATCATATTGTCTCCCTAGTGTAAGAGCCTGAAAGAGTAAATAAAAGCTGAAGGATACAATAGATACTATGAAAAGAAAATGAATCTATCCAAGAAGAAGCAATTACTGAGATAAGGAGAAGGACAGGAGAGGCAATGAGGTAAAGATATATATCTATGTATGTATCCCAGATGGTTTGGATAGTTGTGCTGTGGATTTCTGCTGGTCTGTGGAAAGAAGCAGTTAATGCTTAAATTTTTGTCTTTTTTTCATCTTTCTTAATTTTTTTTTTTTTCCTCTGAATGCCTTCAGGGCAGGTTTGGCTGGCTTGAGTTGTGGGGATCGAACCACAGCAACCTGAGCCTGACTGCTTTGTTGAAGCAGCCACTTAAAGAACTGAGCTAAGGGGCAGGCCCCCACTAATTTCTTATAACTCTTTTCTTTCTTTTTCCAATTTTGCATGCATATATCTGGTAATCTAAACAACCAAGTTCAAGACAACATCATACAATACAACAAATATTGTTGAATTTGTACTATTTTGTTTAATGAAATTCTGTACCATTCCTAATTTTCTTATTACTAGTTTGTATTCTCAAAAGAAAGAAAGACAACCAGACAGAAACAAACAAACCCACCCAGAGGATGGGTCAGCTTTGATTTATTTTTCAAATGAGTACAAACTGAATAAATATTTCTGCACAGGTATTTGCCAGAATGTTCAATGCTCACAAATTAGGAGCCAAGTGAAAAACTGATTCCTTTTTAAAACTCAATAAGCAAATAACCATAATAGAGCTGGTACAAGAGGGGGAAAATCAGAAGAGTATCCATGGTGCCTCCCTTGACTTTAGATGGTACCATTAGTTATATTCTTTTTTTTTTTTTTTTCATTAGTTATATTCTGAGAAGAAAATAACCAATCCCAGAAACACACAGATAAAATAACCCTCATCTGCTGCTACAGTTTATTTTAGTTCCTATGCCAGAGTTACACAAAGCCAGCAAATTTTTTCCAAATCTCATGGGAATTTTACAAAGCAAAAATCAAAAATTAAACTGACCTTTGGAGTACCACAGTCACATTCTTCTCCAGGGTCCACCAATTTATTACCACAGGAGGGCGCACTATAAGCTTCATCAGGCTTTGGAATATTAAGAAGGCAGTTTCCTCCTTTATTTAAAGTTAACTTCTCAAAATCCTCTGCACTACAACTGCTGAAGTTTCTGGAACCTCTATAATAAATATTAAGAAAAATATAATGATTGTTCATTTTGAAATGCTTAAGTCATGTCTTTAATTTTTTTTTTAATCTTGTATTTATTTGGTACAGGGTCTCACTATGCTCATACTCATAGTGATTCTCCTGTCTCCACTTCCCCAGCACTGGGATTACAGGTGTGTGCCACCACACCCTATTTCGGTGGCCAACATGATGCTCCCAGGGTTCCAGGCACTAGTAATACATATGGTACTAGGGATCAAACCTAGGTCCTTGTGCTTGCCAGACAGGCGCTTAGACTGCTGAGCAATCTCCCCAGCTGTAAGTCATATCTTTAACCAAAAAAGAAATACTGCAAATGATCAAAAACAAGCTAACAAAAGTTGATAGAAATGAGAAATATTAACTATTCCTAATAAATATAGAGCATTAAAGGTACCATATAATGGTTTACAATTTTGGTTACATTACATTATACCTCCATGAAAATATCTTCCAAACACATTATTTATACTGAAACACAAAAATCGTAATTTTCAGGAAGAAACCACAAAAATTATCTAGTCTATACAGAACCAAGCTTTATTTGTCTACTGTAATAAAGATACAAATATTATAAACTAGCTATATATTGGCCCTAATCTTTTCTTACTCTGCAGGATGACACTCTTCTGTTCCCCACCCCCACTGTCATTCACTGGGAGTTACAGGAAATGCAAATGGGCAATTCTGGTATGGATGCACCATGGCCACTAAAATGCAGCAAGAGGCACATGCACCTGGTCTTGGAGAAACCCAAATCACATTAAAACTTTTAGTAGCTGGGCATGGCAGTGCACACCTGTAATTCCAGCACTCTAGGAGACTGAAGCAGGAGGATTCCAAGTTCCAGTCCTGCCTAGATAATTTAGGGAAATCTATATCAAAATAAAAATGAAAAAAGCTAGGGATGTAGCTCAGTACAGAAACCCTAGGTTCAAGTAGCAGTTCCACAAGGGAAAATAATGTATCAAGGGTAGTCTCTTTTTATTTATTTCTTCTTTTATGGCCTGAGATTTTGGTACAATATCAAAAATAATAAAATAAAAATTTAAAATGTCATAGTGAAAACCATTAATTAAAATAATCAGTGTGTTCATTTTAATCAGGAAAAAAAAATAATTGCTAAGCCCAATATCAAAGAACCACAATATTTCCTTGTAGTAGTTTTATGGTTTCAAGTCTTATAATAGCTCTCCTCATTGAGTGGATTTTGTGTGTGTGTGTGTGTGTGTGTGTGTGTGTGTGTGTGTGTGGATTGTGAAAAACTAAAGGTCCAATTTCATTCCTCCATATGGGGAAATTTCATTTCCCCAGCACCATTTATTGAAGAAACAATATTTTCTCCAATGTGCTACCCTGATGTCCTTGTTGAAAATTAGTTCACTATCAATGATTGAGTTTATTTTTAAGCTCTTTTCTCTTAAAAAAAAATTATTTTATTTTGAAAAGTAAAAAGAAAAGCCAAAATGAATAGCAGAAACAAACACAGAAACAGGGTAACATACAACAATACATGTTACAGATTTTCAAAACAAGAATAGCAAATTAACAATGGCTGTTATATTACCTATATTTAATGTCAAATACAGCTATGCAAGATTGGACAGATAATTGAATATTTTAAGCTCTCTTTTCTGTTTCATTGGTTTGTGTCTGTTTTTTAAGCCAGTACCATACTATTTTTAATTACTAGAACTACAGTACTAAAAAGCTTCAGCACAGCAAAATGAAAAGGGGAAATAATATTTGCAAACCATATATGATGAGGTTAATATAAAAATTTGCAAACTCACAAAACTCAATGTCAGCAAAAGAAAGAACACAATTTAAAAATGAGCAAAGGAGCTGAGTACATTGGCTCATGCCCATAATCCTAACAATTCAGGAAGTAGAGGCAGGATAACCACTTCAACTCTAACAAGAGTTGGAGAGACCTTATCTCAAAAAATACATAAATAAAGATAAATTAAAAGAGCTGAGAGTAAAGCTTAGTGGTAGAGTGCTTTTCTAGAATGCACAGGCCTGGGTTCAAATGCCAGTACAGAGAAAAGAGCAAAGGACTTGAATACACATCTCAAACAAAGATGTACCAATGACCTACAGGTGAAACAATGCTCAGTATCCCTAATCACCAGGGAAATGCAAACCAAAACCACATGATCTCACCTTACACTAGTAGGATGGGTTTTATTCAAAACATAAGGTAAGTGTGGGCAAGGGTAGGAAGAAAAGGACACCCTTGATCACTGCTGGTGGGAACACAAATTGATGCAGCTATTAAGGAAAACAATGTGAGATTGCTAGAGAAATTAAAAAGAGCTATCATGTGACCCAGCAATCTCTCCTCTAGATATATACACAAAGGAAACAAATCAGCACTTCATAAAGATATCTACATTCACATGTTTCGCTTATTCACAATACCCAAGACATAGAAACAACCTAAGTATCCATTAGTGAAAAAATTTGTGTGTGTGAACATGTGCATGTGTGAATGAAATAGAGTACAACTCAGCCTTATACAAGTAAAAGGACAGCCTGCCATCTGTCACATGGATAAACAAAGAGGATGTTATCTAAGTGAAGTAAGCCAGACACAAGAAAAAAATACCGTTTGGTGTCACTTATGTTTGAAATAGAAAAACAAAGCACATATACGGAGACCAAAAAAAAAAAAAAACAGTGGTTATGGAGTGGGAAGGAAGGAAATGGGGAGATGTAGGTCACAGGATACAGAACAGCAGATATAAAGGATGAACAAGTGGAAAGATCTAGTTGTATTTATAGGACTATATTATATTGTATTCAGGATTTTTGCTAAAAGAGTAGTTTTTGGTGCTCTTGCCACAAAGGAAAATAAAAATGGGTAACTACAGGGGATGATGGATATGTTAATATGCCAAACTACAGTAGCTATTTCACCATTTATCAAAACACATTACACATTTTAAATATATATATAATTTTTTTCTTCAAGGAAACTTGGTGCTGTCCTGTAGAAAACAATGGGGCAGGTAGGTAGGAAAAAGACAGGGAAAGGCCTGAGTGAGGTTTCTGGCAAATCCTGACTAAAAAGAGTTTAAACCCCTGCTAGACAAAGGCAAGTTAGAGAAAAAGCAGGGAGAAATGACAGAGGCTGGCTCTGCTTGGCGCCAGGGCCCCAAACAGAGTTAGTGACCCTCAACTCACTATGAAAAAAAGAATAAGCAAAGGCAATTATTTTGATTCATAGAAAAATATAGCACAGGGCTTGTGATAATAACAGAAAGGCTTATTTTTTGTTATCTTTTGCTTGCCACTCTTAAGAATATGATGAAGAGGAATCCTTTTGCGCAATATCGATCATCTGTTCATTCAACAAATATGTGCTGGACATCTGTCTGTACAAGGCACGCCTCTCCATGCAAGGGATGAAAATGAACACAAGAGCCAAAACCCCACCCTATGAAGGCTACATTCTAGTGAGCAAAGCAGACTAAACAAGTAAACTGGACAGATTAGAAAGCAAAGAATGCCATGGGAAGATGGAAGGGAGCAAGGGCAATAACCTGTGCAGAGGTGGAGTGATAATTTTAGTTTATTTTAAAGAGACAAAAAAAAAAATAAAAACAATACAGAATTTCAAAACAAGATGATAGAAAATTCTGAGTGATAATTTTAAAAGGCAGGCAAGTGCTCACTCCAGCAGCACATATACTAAAATTGGAATGATACAGAGAAGATTACCATGGCCCCTGAGCAATGATGACATGCAAATTCATGAAGTGTTCCACATTTTTGTGTGAAAATATGTAATTGTTTATTCATATTTTTTACATATTTTTTATTTTTTTGTTTTTTTCTCCATATTCTGTAGAGACTTAAAGTTTAACATATCAATACTTGATGGAAAACAGCTGTTTCATGTTATGCCTAAAATGTTTGACATTCAGACAGATAGTGAGGTTAAACCCAACTGCATATGCTGTAGGGTAATAGTAAGCTTCTCTTCTGGAGGGTTAACAACCTAAGTTTGCAGACCAAAAATCAGAGAAAAAGAAGGGCTGCAAGGACAGCCAACACTTTGGCCCTAGCCTTTCAAGGTCAGTGAGGACTCAGGACACAGGAAAACCTATAATGTAACATCATGTAACTCAGTTGTGTCCGAAGTTTTCTGATCAAGGAGATTATAAGGCCACCAAGGAATGTGATCAATAATGTAGAGTGTGCCTAAGGAGAGTCACAGGGAGAGAAAACATTCTCTCAGGCTTTCACAGAGAGCAAATCGGTCAAGTAATGGTTGTGACTCATCCACATGGCTGACACTGACAAAGAATCTGCAAACTGTGGCACAGAGTTACAGGATAAATCCTGAGGGGATCTGACTGACCTTATCAGATACAAAAGTTACATTTCTTGTTATATAGGTCTTGCTTTATCTTGGTCTTAACAATCCAGCAGAAAAGTATAAAAACAAGGTATGAAAAGTAAAGCCTTGTTAATACGCTGAGCTGTGAAAGGCTCAAGTCAACAACTTCTGACACTGCCAGTCCTACAGATAACCCACTTCTATTATGGACTACTGGACTATATTGGATTATTTTGCTGAGTTCACGGACCTACAATATTTAAATGGCAATAGAATACCCATCTCTAACAAAACTAAACAAAAAAAATGGGATACAAAGGAAGGACCATTTTGTATCTGTATATACAAAATAGGATAAATATACAGCTACTTTCTCTTAATTCAATGAGAAGATTTGTACTAATACTAATTAGACAGGATATCAAATCTGCATCTTGTACAATGAATAACCACTAAGAAGATAACAATATGCAATGTACGAATTATTGAATCTGAGGGGCCAGGGAAATGGCTCAGTGGAATAAGTGCTTCCCTGGCAAGTGCAAGGGCCTGAGTTCAATCCCTAGTTCCACCAAAAAAAAAAAAAAAATTATTGAATCTGTCCTATTAATCGGTTTTGAAAC